GATTTCAAATGAAATAAGGATAACTTTCAGCAACTCTTTCTCCATTCGGAAAGTAACAGAAATAATATTTTATTTTTTAGTTGATTTGATTTGTCCATCGCTTGTAAGATAATAGGTATAAGAATAAACATGAGTATGAATACAGGAAATAGGTACTGGTATATTGGGGATCATACCTGTGATGACCCAAAGGGGTGTGGCACAAAAACAACAAAGTCACAAAAATAGGCAAAGTCCCTTTAATACCTCCAATTTGGCCCCCAAAGTCCAGTTATCATTGGCTGGAGAAAAAAACTTTCCCAAGAACAGTCTTTAAATAGAAGAAATTCAATCTGACCCCAAAGTACATATTAATTATAAATAAAAACCAACACAAACCATGCTGCAGCTATTAACGAGACCGGGCAGGACAAGGAATTGCAGACTTCAAAAGATAACGAAACACATACAGTTGGGAGGATGCCAGAACTCAGATAAAGATTTGACAAACCAAAATAATTCATGCTTTGCTTCCAGCAAGGAGCTGTGCGCAAACACCCTCTTTATCCTGTTTTCCCAGCTGCAGATAATTAAGGAAATCAGGGCCCTTTTCTCCCCCGTAACCCCTGTTGCTCCCTTCTCCCTTACTTCCTGTGTGCCCTAAGATGAAGAGGGGGTGGGCCTGGGTCTTCCTCTGAATGCCCAGCCGGACTGTGCCCTTCCCCAGTTTCCTCCCCAGCCACCGGAGCCACACTCCCCACTCCCTGTCAGCTGCTCCACCTCTCCCTCGGAATCAGCTTCCAACAGGGGCATAATACCCATCTTATAAGTGGTGAAATCAGAGGAAATAACAGCTGGGATGTTTCCTGATCTCTCCTAACCAAAATGCTTACTTCAGAACTGGATCCCACTGAAACCCATTAACAATGGCAGGCCCCAGTAGTCCTTAAACTGTTTCTCACGAATCTTAACTGGCTGAGGGTTCCCTATTTATCTAAGCCTGCAGTCTCTGGGCGCAGTGAAGGGCAACAATTTGTCGTACATTTTGTAAGAACAGGATGGCGCTTGTCGTGCTGGCTTTGCTGTCATCTCGATGAAGCTTCGTCAGGAAAAGAGGCTCTTTCACTCTTTGAGTTCCAGACTCTTCTTGTGTTTGTAACGGGGAGGATCAAACCCTCTTGATTAAAGTGTGTCTTCACAAAGGACAGAGAGCTCGGAAAACACAACGCCTTGTTCTCGACTTCAGGCTCAAACCACCCTCTCTGAAAAGCAGCTTTATGCTCCCGTTCAGCCTTCTGAAGCGGCCTGGCTGAGGTTAGTTTGACGGGTGGCTGTGTTAATCCTGAGGCTTGTGATCATGTTCAGCTTCACAGCGCAACTCAGTTTTGTGTAGGCTGCGCAGTTGCAGCTAGCAAGCTGCCTGTCTTGAGGAACAAAACAGAGGAGGAACTTGTGTGTGTATGTGAGATTTCTGGTTTTTGTTTTGTTTTTTAAAAAACCCAGAGAGCTTTAAACAAGGGGATGCAATTTACGGGAATTGTTCAGTTGTTTTACTGCAGGGCGCAACAGGCATTGGAATTCAAGAGCAATGTGCACACAATGTGCTAAAGAAGGTTAACCTCGGTAAAAACTGACTCATCGCATGGGGCGAGCCATACGTTGCATGAACCAATACATTCAGACGTCATGGATGTAGTATGGTAGAGGACAAGTCTTGGCTGGCTGGCTGAGGAATTCTGGGAGTCGAAGTCCACAAGTCTTAAAGATGGCTAGGTTGAGAAACAACAGTAGACTAGGTCAAGGGGTCCCCAGCCTTGGCCACTTTAAGCCTGGAGGACTTCAACTCCCAGAATTCCCCCAGCCAGCTTTGCTTTAACCCAGGGGTCTCCAGCCTTGGCCACTTTATCTGGGAGTTGAAGTCCGCCAGGCTTAAAGTGGCCATGGTTGGAGACCCCTGGACTAGGTGATCCTTCTGGTCCCTTCCAACTCTTATCATTCATGTCTGGCTGGGGAATTCTGGGAGCCGAAGTCCACCAGCCTTAAAATTGCCAGGGTTGGGCACCCCTGTTGTAAAACAAGAGCGCCCTCAATCCTCTTGCTTGCTTGCTTGCTTGCTTGCTCATTTTGACTGTTTCCTCCGAGTGCCCAGGGCCCCGAGGGAAGCTTTAAGAATGCAAATGTGGCTTGTCAATGCCTCCAAGATCCGGTCTGGTCTGAATACTAGATTAGTTCACGCACTTATGTTTCTTTCAACTGGGCGCGATCTTTTGCATAGAGCTGCCATTGCGCTTTTAAACAGGATTTTCAGGGGCGGCTGTTCTAAAAATACACAAAGTTTCTGGGAATTCCTGCTTGACTTCCAAATGCCTGGAACCAGGGGCATTGACCGGCTAGGTGATGTTGCCTTGGAAAAATGTGCTCGTTTCTGAGATGTTGGAGGTGCTCTCTGTCACAGCCTCTTGACGGCCTTGCAAAGGCCAGTTGTGCCGGGCCAGAGCCCAAGATGTAGGAATGGAAATTTCCATCTGGGGATGGAGCTTTTCCAGCGCCGTCTGGGTAATTATCAGCTGGTTTCTTAAAGAGAAACAATTAGGCAAGCAGGAAGCTGTTGCACAACACATGGGTGCTTGTGCATGAAAAGGACAATTTAGAACATGTTGCTTTTCAGCAAGGCTGGGATTCCAGAGGCTTTGTGGAGGCCCCGAGCTGCAGCCGCTGCGGCATCATCGGTAGGGCCCCATTCTTCAGCCAGAACAGAGCTGGAAAGAGTAGAGCACAACCCTCACGGTCCACGGCTAGCATCTTACAACAGGAGTCTCCAATCTTGGCAACTTTTAAGACTTGTGGACGTCAACTCCCAGAATTCCCCAAGTGGTAAAGTTGCCATGGTTGCAGAGCCCTGCCTTAGACTCAAACAGCAACTTTCTGGGAGCAGGTTTCACTAACTTGCAGGCCCTGAATTCATCTGGACTGCCCGGTGGGCCATTCTAGTCTAGTCCTCTTTTTCCATGACTGGAAACGTGACCTCGGTGTGAGCCCCCAACTCGGCATCCCTAGAACGGTGGCCTCGGAAGTCCTCATCAAGATCCTTGCTTTTCTTTTGCCCTTTTCCTGGACAAGCCAGTCTTAATTTGCCCCATCCACCATTTTTATTCTGAGGCATTTTTGGAAATGGGGATGTAGAAGAGAAGGCAGAGCTAAGGAGGGCAGAGTTAAGCGTGTCCTCATTTTAGAATTGTTGCGCTCCCACAAGTCCAACCACCTCCTGAATTCTGTTCATCCTTCCCTGGCGCCAGTTTAGTACTGAACTTTACTTGGCTTCTTCTATGTAGGTTCTTCTATGTAGGTTTGAATAAATCATCTATACAGGTTGTCCTCGACTTACAACCACAATTGAGCCCAAGATTTCTGCTGCTAAGTGAGCCATTTATTGAGTTTTGCACCGCCTTATATGACCTTTCTTGACACAGGTGGCAGGTGAATCATTGTAGTTGAGAAGTTAGTCACATGGTTGTTAGCTGAACCTGCCTTCCCCGTTGCCTTTCTCTTCAGAAGATTGCCAAGGGGGATGGCATGGTGCCAGGACACGTCATAAATATGAGTCAGTTCCCAAGGGCCTGGATTTTGATCTAGGGACTGCGGGGATGCTGTGACAGTCGTTAAGCATGAAAAACGTTCACAAGTCCCTTTTTTTCCGGTGCTGTTGCAACTTTCAAACGGTCACTAAATGAACCATTGTAAGTCGAGGACCGCCTGTCCCTCAGCCTTACAAACGGTCTTTCGCGCCTGACCGTGCTTCGCTTTGGCTTGCTTTGCCATTGACCAACATCGCCTTTGGTTCCTTACCAGATACTTTCTGAATGTTAAAAAAAAAAGCGCCAGGTGGAGCCAGGGTTGCCAGAGGGGTCCTCAGGCAGGAGGTGCCCGACAGGCCGTGGCCAGGATCCAGATCTTCCCATCGCCTCTGTTGGCTAATTAGAGGGAGCCAATTAAGGGAGGAATGTTTACGGCGACACTTCAAAAGAGAATTAAAGCCTTTTCTTGCCACTTTCTGGAAGTCTGACCTCTTCTCCCCCACCCCAGGGTATGTCTTGTCTTCCAAACTCCCAAGGAGTAAATAAAAGTCATCTTTTAATGACCCCATAATCCCTTGCGGGGTGGAGTCTGGGCAGCTGAATGGAGCTAGCAGAGTGTTTTAATGGCCAGATGCCCTTCCTGTCACCAGTACGGAGTTATTTTTTCAGCAGATATATTCTCAGTGTGTCCAGAGAGAAAAATATCTGCCTCTACCTAGGATCGAGCTCACAGCCTCCTGATTGCGAGGTGAGAGCTTCACACGTCTAGGCCACCGCACCACTCGAAGGAGTAAATTAAAAGTGAATGTCTTTTTTTTAAAAAAAAGTGCTGTTGCGCATTTGGGTACAGATTCTGAGATTGCGCACACAATTGTCCCAGGATTAGGAGTAGCTCCCGTGTAGGTTTTCAGGAAGACAGACCCCCCCCCCCCCAATGTCTGGCGACGCTACAGTTGACATTTTCAGCCGAGCTTGAAGTCGGCGGGTGCCTTCAAATGTCGCGTCAGGGTTCCGGCGATTGCCCTAATTAAATCATGAGCCTCGAGCCCAGCTTCAAAAAAATCCAAAAGATTTATTAGGAGCAACTTGCTGGCATTAACCTAAATGAAGCCGACTCTGGCATACGTGACTTACAGTCGCCTGTGACCCTGTTTCCCTGCTCCCTCCTGGGCGTGTCATAAATCAGATTCTCCAACAAAGCACATTCACAGGCTGGGTGTCAACAATCACGTTCTCCAATGAAGGATTTTCCGAGGGCAGAAGATCCGGTAGCCTAGCTACAATCTTTGTAGGATAAGTGTTGGAATGTGCTTCTGGTTTTAGACTGCCGTACTGCTCCTTCAGATCCCCCCCCCCCCCCCCCCCCGGGTTCATGGCAACTCAAAAACAGGCCTAGGAATGTTTTACGAGTTGACACGTCGGTGCCTCCCCTTGGCTCCCCTGCAGAACCACCGAGCAGATCCCGAGGGGCTTTTCACCAAGCTGGAGCGCATCGGGAAGGGCTCCTTCGGAGAAGTCTTTAAGGGCATCGACAACCGGACGCAGCACGTGGTGGCCATTAAAATCATCGACCTGGAAGAAGCCGAGGATGAAATTGAAGACATCCAGCAGGAGATCACGGTGCTCAGCCAGTGTGACAGCCCTTACGTCACCAAGTACTACGGCTCCTACTTGAAGGTAAGAGGGGCCTTCGCTCCAGGCTTCCACCAGGACGTGGCTGGTTTTGCAGGGAGGGGCCGAGTTGGGGTGTCCGGAAGCCACAAAGAGGGTGGAACATCGTGCGCCCCGTTTACCTTTCCTTGGCTGGGTTTGGAGGGAGCAGGAATGCTTTACCTTCGAACTCAGAAGGGCAGCAAACGTTTTCTATCCACACCTGGAATTGGCTCACCCTGTTTATTCCAGGTGTGTCCCAAACATGCTTCAGTTCAGATGCGACCCATCCAACGCCGTCCCTGCCCTGTTTGTGTATGAACTTCTAGACTCAACCATCACAGGGTCCAGATTCCATAGGATTTTAATTCTGATAGATTAACAGAGTTGGAAGGGAACTTGTAGGTCATCCAGTCCAACCCCCTGCCCAACACCACTTCTGACAGGTGGCAGTCCAATCTCTTCTTGAAAGTCTCAAGTGATGAAGCTTCCACAACTTCTGAAGGCAACTTCTGTTCCCTTGGTTGATTGTTCTCCCTGTCAGAAAGTTTCTCCTTTATTTCTAGATTGAATCTCTCCTAGGTCAGTTTCCATCCATTATTCCTTGTCTGGCCTTTGGGGGCCTTGGAAAATAGCTTGACCCCCCTCCTCCTCTCTGGGGCAGCCCCTCAAATATTGGAAGGCTGCTCTCCTGTCTCCCCTGGTCCTTCTCTTCCCTAGACTCGCCAGGCCCGGTTCCTGCAACCATCCATCCTATGTTTGAGCCTCCAGCCCCCTCATCCTCCTGGTTGCTCTTCTCTGCACTTTTTCTAGAGTCTCAACACCCTTTTTCTGGGACTTGCAATACAAAGAGTTTTTCTTTAACGCCTAAATTGCCTCAGAATCCCCAGAACCATCATCAGAATTGCATCCGATTTCTGCTGCGGGTGGAAGACTGGGAAGGGGAAAAAAAGGAGAGATCCATTTTGGCCTCTCTTCTGACTAACAAACATGGTTCAGAGACTTCTGAAGAAGCCACAGACTAACCCATTTCTTCTGCTCCTCCTCCGAAGACCGAACGTGCCCTCCCTCCCACCTCCCCGCGTTAAACATTCCTGGCCCGTAACGGTGAGCCAAGCGGCTCCTTTGGGTGCCAGGGGGCAAAAGAGCCGCACCCAGTCACGGTTTACACTGGCAAATTCCCAGAGGCGTTTTTGGTGTGGGGCGCTCTGAGCCACCCTGCACCCCCACAAAGGCGCCTGTGTTCCCAGATCTTCCCCTGCTAGCACAGACGAGGAAGGTGCTAAAAGTAGCAGCACAGCTACCTCTCCATTTCCAACCTCTGCAGGGTAAATGCCCTGTGTGTGTGTGTGTGTGTGTGTGTTTGCCTAACAAAGTGACCTCTGTTCAGGAGCTGCTCTTCCAGCCACAACATGCCTAGTTTTCCATCCGTCTTGAGGAAAGAACGGCTGCTGGGTTAAAACTCGGCCCCTAACGGAGGCTCTGGGTGGAAAATCACCCCAGGTCTTCCAACTGGCATGGCTGGTGGGCTTCAGGGAGCAAGGAAGGAGGAGGTGGGGTTTCTCTTACTTGTTGTCTGTAGGGGCCCTCCAAGCCCCTGCCCCCAGAGGCCTCTCCTCCTTCCAAGGCAGGGGGGGGGGAGGCCCCTTTAGGGCTTGTGGACAGCTCAGGAATTCTGGGAGTTGAAGTCCACAAGTCCTAAAGGGGGGCCACCATTCCCCACCGCTGTTCTCAGGCCTTGATTGGCAGCCTCTCAACTAGGGCGAGGGTAGCAGCCCCCGTACGCGTGTTTATCCAGAGGCTTCGGCCGATGTTTAGCTTAAGACGGGCGCCCCCTTTTCTGAAACTCAGCAAGGCCTTCCTCTCCAAATGGAAAGCGGGAGGCTGATACGTTCCCAGCTAAAAATATCCTGCTTGGCTCTTGATGTAAATACTCCAGGGGTGAAACTCTTGGGATCCCAGCATTGTTTGGAAAAGACGAAAGGCTCTTTTTAACTACAAATTAACTACCCGTCACAGAGCAGCTCTACTGCAACGTACACAACGGTTTCCTTGAAGGGCTCCTCCAAAATTACACGTCCTTCTTCGTGTGGCTCTTCTGAAAAACCACAGTGCAATTTACAAAATCGCACAATGCAGCCGGTAAAATCGTCCCACTACAAATTTCCCCCACCACTTTCTCACAAAGTGGCGGCTGAGAACCTATAACTGGCATTTAAAGTACTAACTGGAGTGGTGAGAACAAAAGGGGCAAAACTAACGTGTGAACCAATGGCTTGGTGAAGGGGCCCCGAAGTGGACCCCAACCCTCCTTTAGCTGGCAGGCAACTGTGGTGCAGAAACCGGGTCTCAAGCTGGTTACAATTCAACGGTGAAACCGGTTTGCCTCCAGAAGTTGCAGGTGCTTCCTCCCTGGAGGTTTTTAAGAAGAGATTGGGCAGCCACTGGTCTCAAATGGTCTCCTGCTTGGGCAAGAGGTTGGACTAGAAGACCTCCCAGGTCCCTGTTGGTTGTTTGCAGACATTTCATGACCAAAGCAGGTAACATCACCAGTGTGAGAGAACGCAGGGTTTACTCTCTGATTATCTACAGCCGCTTGCCCTTCCAGTCTTGGTGTGGGTTCCTCACTCACTGATGAGGTTACCTAGTTGGGTAATGAAATGTCTGCAAGCAAACAAACCAAGCGCAGGGAAGACCCCAAAGTTTGTTTTTTGTGTCTGTGGTCACAGTGGATCTTTTGTTGTGTTCTTCCCCTGCTTAGTGCTATTTCCGGATATATTGCGACGATAGCCCCTCTCCACACAAAAATTCCACATTGTTCCTGCCCCCCTTTTCCCACTTTCCCCGATCCAGAGAAATCAGGAGGGGGAAAAAAGCTAACTTTTCCCCTGCATTCCCTTTTAGGGCACAAAGTTGTGGATAATAATGGAATATTTAGGTGGGGGATCGGCCCTGGATTTGGTAAGTATTTCAGTTACTTTATGAACTCCCTTGATTTGTATTGTAAGCTATTGGAATGGATGGTCTCATTTCATGATTCTGGAATTGCGAGTCAGGCCCTCTTAAATATAACCGGTGCTTGAGTGAAGAGGTCATTTCCAGATGTGTGCGGCACTAAAAGATATATCTGATTACTAGCTCGATACCCTACGAAACTATGTGGTCGGGCTTAGTTTTTGGGGAGGAAAATAAGTGGGGGCGGGGGGAATTCTGCCTCTGCCTACCAGCATCCATTGGTATTCATCTGGCTAGCATCCTGTCAGTCTGTGAGAGTTGAGGGGTGTTTGGAAACTGAAGCAGTATTTGCTGTGTGAGCAAGAAGGAGACAGCAAGGAGCCTGGGCGTGGCTTAGCTCAACTGTTCTGTACTAAAGCTGCTTGGTGCTCTGAAACTGAAACTCCTCTGCTTGTTTGTGTTTTGCATTTGGAAGAGATTCCTTTTCAGGTGGGGAGGGGGAGTAGAACTCCTTAGCATCAGAGCATGTTAATAATAATAATACAGGAAATGCTCTGATGGCCATTTCGAAAAATCCTTTCTTAGTGAGCCCCTAGAAGCCAAGAGGAACCTAGGTGCCAAATTTGAAGTTTGTAGTCTTTACAGTTCTGGAGATTTTGTGATGATGCCTGAGTGGCATTTCGCTTTTATATATATGCAGATTTGCGTGTAGCCTCAAAGTTTGCATTCTGGAAACTCCTGGTGTTGTGTAAAGCTCAATTAATGGTGCATTGTCACAGCCCATGACCGTCTGCGGTCTCGGGCCCCGTTCTTCTGCAGGGAGAGACCTTGCAAGGGCTGTGGTCCCTCGCAAAGGCCCAGGGGCAAGGAAGGTTGGCCCCCTGGGCAGAAACGAACCCAAGCGCCCTTCCTCTCTGCCCCCGAGGAGCCTCCGGAGGGTGTGAGTGTCAGCCGAGCCGCCTTCGTGACTCAGTCCTTGGGCAGGGCCTGGAATTCCTTTGCCCGAGTTGAAAGACGTTTTCTATTAGCACAGATTTTCCTGCAGGAGCCTCCCCTTGACAAGGGGCTTCAGTGTGTCCCTTGTGTGGCTCTGGGGGCAGAAGAAGAGAAGCCCCCACCCCCTCCGACTCAGGCCGTAAATAAACTTCGGTTAGAAAGGAGAGGGTGTTCCTTGACTTTTTTCCTTTGGGCAAAAGGAAGCCTTGCCGTTATGGGAAAACTGTCCGTTGCAGTTAATAAATGGAAAGGTGGACTCTTTAAAAAAAAAAAATCCGCTTTCCACACACAGAGATGTTTCTGTTGGAAGGCGATCCGGAGAGTTTGCTGCGGGAGCAAACACAGCTAACCTTGAAGGCTGCAACTGAGTTGGTGTTTCCATTCTGAGTTCCTGTAAACTGGAAGCCTGAAAGGACCCATTGCTTACGATGCCGGCCGTCTGTCCTGGTGGCTGCAGTTTAGGAGGGGCTGAGAAAGCAGAGGGCTGGGTTTTCCCTTATCCCCCCAGGCCAGCTTGACCACAGGCCTCTCGGCGAGATCCACCCTTTTCCTCCCAAGATAATTCTGCCACAGTATTTACATTTAGGCGGCTCCAGAAATGTCATTAGTGGGGTTTGAAGCCTGCTTTTGTCTCCTTAGAATGTCAGCATCTGCTCAAGTTTAGCTTTGCTGGTGCAGCTCCTGGGTGGCTCTCAGTTGTCCCCCAGGAAAGCCAAGACCATCTCACTTTGACTAGAAAAAAAAGCATTTCTCAGCTATTTTAAGAGATGTGGACTTCAGCTCCCAGAATTCTCCAGGCCGGCTAGGGTGTTCTGGGGGTTGAAAAGGAGGGAAGTCCTCAGGTTGAGAAACATCGGGCTAGCAGGAGTCTCCAAGCATGGCAGCTTTAAGACTTGTGGACTTCAACTCCCAGGATTCCTCAGCCAGCAGGTAGAATTCTGGGCATTGAAGTCCACATCATTTCTAGTAGCTGAAGCCAAGAAACGGCTGGTTGAGGAATTCTAGAAGTCCACAAGTCTTAAAGTTGTCAAGTTTGGAGAGCCCTGGGCTAGAGGAACTGACGCCAAGAGAGCAGGAGATAGTCTATCTGCAACACCAAGGAATCATTTCTTCCACGGGCGCAAGATCCGGCAGGCATCGTAGAATAGTCCCCTGAATTTTGAGAAGGGGACTTGGTGGGACTTCTCTCTTGGTGGGCTTTGCTCTGTTTCTTGAGCCACGAGAAGTTCCCTTCCTTGCCACAAGAAGTGGCGCTTATAGGCAACAGATTCTCACCTTGAAGCCTGATCAAAGATTGTTTGGTACTGTCTCCCAAGCCTTGCACACAAATAGTACGTTGAGTTGTCCACGCCTAGGTGCTTCCCTTGTTCTTGACAAATTCAGACGTTTTCTTGGTAACAAAGTAAGAGATAAAGGAGAAGGCACGAGTTGAGGAGAGTAACCTGTTCACAACACCCAGATTTATTTCTGATAATGGCCTAGCTCTCTTTCCAGGTAGCTTTACTTTAGTTGTGTAGAATTTTGGATGAAGAGCCATTTCTGGTGAGGTGGAGACACAGTTTGAATCTCTTGTGCTAAGACCTGTAGAAAGGAAACGAAACAGATGGTTCAGAACCAAGACAAGGGCCTTTGAAAGCTTATAAACTCTGGTTATTTCCTCTCGAGCTCCGTGCTGGGCCTTTCGACGAATTCCAGATTGCTACGATGCTGAAGGAGATCCTGAAAGGGTTGGACTACCTGCATTCAGAGAAGAAAATCCACAGAGACATCAAAGGTGTGTAAAAGAAAGAGGGAGAGGAAAGGCCTCTTTCGGACCACCAGGTTTCTCTTCTCGTTAAATGAAGGCTGTCTTCTCGTTTCCTCCTGGCCAGCTGCCAACGTCTTGCTTTCTGAGCAAGGAGATGTGAAGCTTGCAGATTTTGGGGTTGCTGGACAACTGACTGACACACAAATTAAGAGGAACACTTTTGTAGGAACGCCCTTCTGGATGGCCCCCGAAGTCATCCAGCAATCAGCCTACGACTCAAAAGTAAGCTCCTTTTAGTGGGCCTTGGAGGGTCTCTTCAATTTATATAAGGACATTGGAACAGCTGGTTATAATCCAGAATTGTAGCTCATTGTGTAGTGGGATTTTTTTTTAATACAGGTAATCCACCAATGAGGGCAAAACCAGATCTAGCTAATTCCCGTGCACACCACATAATTAAAAGTGTAGGATTCACCTTCCCCCTATTAGTGCAGGTCACATTTACCGATTCAACGTGATTGAATTGTTATGAGAAAAAGTCTTTGGCTCTGGCAAACACCAGCTGAAGTGTCCTTGGCTCTCATGGCTCATAGTCTTGATGTCTGGAGCCTAAATTCCACCCCGAGTTCTTTGGCAAGCTGAGAAGTAGTACTAGTCGCAACAGCGTAAGTGCGCTTTGAACTTGACTGCCCATTTTCCAGGCTTCCTGTTGACCTCAGTTCCACATAATCTCCTGGCACCTATCCGCTCGGTTCATCCTTTCCCCGGGAGCAAACGTTCCCACGGTTTATCATAAGCCTGACTGCCCAGGGTATTAAAACTGAAGGGCGTTTGCACATAGCGGTAGCTTAAAGATGCTCCAGAAACCCGGAAGAGCCTCGACTCAGATCACGCAATTCAGGTTAAAGCCCACAAATTTGAACTTGACTTCGTTCAAAATAGCCAGCCGGGTTCTCTTGCTCTGCAGGCGGATATCTGGTCTCTTGGCATCACCGCCATCGAACTGGCCAAAGGGGAGCCTCCGAATTCAGACATGCACCCGATGCGAGTCCTCTTCCTCATCCCTAAAAACAACCCCCCCACCCTCGCCGGAGAATTCAGCAAACCCTTCAAAGAGTTTATCGACGCCTGTCTGAACAAGGACCCGACGTTTGTGAGTGTGCTTTTGGGTATTCCCAGATCTGGAGGGAGGTCCGTCTTGTGGGGAAACCTTCTTTAAAAAAACGTATCTCCATGCATCACCAGGCTTGCAGGAGTTTGAAGGCTGCCGTCTTCTCTGCACCCGAAACACAGCAGGATAACTTTCAGGCATTGTTGTTGTTTTTGTGGGTTGACATAGGATGTTTCAAACCACACAGGATGCTTGGAGCATGCCGAGGAATGAATCAGAGGCGGTTGAAGCTTAATTTTGAGTCAGATTCTAGGTGAAGCATGCAATAAAAGTTTTGTAGTGAGTGTGGTTGGGTTGGCAAAGCTCACACTTCACTCAGAAGTTAATGTAGGTGGGCAGCTGTTACAGATCACTAGAAAACATCTGTTGACCCATGAATGCCGGTGAAAGAACATTGAAAAGTTTAGTCTAATCGTTGCTCTTGGAGAACTTACTGTTTAGGCCAGTGAAAGTTTGGGTCATTGCCCTGGAGTGCAGGAAGGGTGGACTTGTTTAGATCTCAAGGCCTTCGGAGGATTCACTTTTGGGATCTGAACTTCCACAATGGTGGTTAGCATCAACGTTAAAAATTTTTTTTAATGTTGTTTGGGGTGCTGAATGAATTTCCCAGAATGAAAGGTAAATCAATAATAAACAAGAGCCAAAAAAAGCAAGGTGTATTTACAAGATCAGGAGTCAACGAAGCGGAAAGAGACAATTCACCGCAGTCAACTCACTGTGGGACAATTCAACAATTCAATTTAATTATTTAAAAGAATTAAAACATTATTTTAACTTTTGCCATCCGCGTTTCATTTTGTCCCTCCTTTCTTTAACAATTCTATTCCACGATTCTATTGAAGGAACGATTCTGTTCCTTCCATGTTAGAGGAACTCTTGTTCTGCGTTGAGTTGTCCCATAGCACGTTGGCCATGGCAAGTTGGCGTAGACCCATCTAGAAGGCCCTTCGAGAAAGTATGTCTTGAGTGGGTTCCGGAGGAGCCCTTCTCCAGAGGAAGGCCTTTCCCCACCCCTGGGCTTTCCTCCCATGGTGGTTGAGCGTGAGAATTTGATCCGCCGGTCTTTAGTGGAAGGAGGCCATCCCTTCGATCTCCCGCCCTTGTCCATCTCCAGCGCTTTGGGGCCCTGCTGGAGAGAAAAACAAATCGACGCTCCATATCTTTTGCAGCGCCCCACGGCCAAGGAGCTGCTGAAGCACAAATTCATCCTGAAGAACGCCAAGAAGACCTCTTACCTGACGGAGCTGATTGACAGGTTCAAGAGGTGGAAAGCGGAAGGACACAGCAGCGACGAAACTGACTCGGACGGCTCGGATTCGTGAGTCTGGGTAGTGGGGGGGGGGGGCTGAAGGACCAGCTGGGCCTCCATGCCCCACGGCCGTCCAGATCAGGAGGGCCTGAGCCCCCTTGTGAAAGTTCCTAACAAGCCCACCTTGCCTGGTCCTCTAATGGATTGACTGACTTTGCCCTTTCCTGCCTCTCAGCGAGTCTAGCAACAAGGAGAACAATTCCCATCCCGAGTGGAGTTTCACTACCGTGCGGAAAAAGCCAGACGCCAAGAAAGTGCAGAACGGAACGGTAAGCTTAGCCGGCATATTTACTACTTCTTCTTCAGAAGGGATCAGAAGGATTTATTCGGCTTTTATCAGACGAGAGAACGAGCCTCTGGGGTTTGTTTATTGCCTACTGTCAGTTGTCCACCTCTGCATTGATCGTACCCCAGATATCCAAGAATATCTGTTTAAAAAAGCCCTTAAAGCCACCATTCCCATGAAGACATTCCCAGATTAAGAGGGCGCTGTGAAGCCGTTTGTGGGCAAGACTCTCCTGCTCTCCCACCTGGAAATACCAGCTGGGTAGAACTTGCCTGCGGAGGCTTCGGCCTTGGGATTTCTCAGGGTTTCCGGGCGCTTGAAAACATCCCTTTTCTGACTTTCTAGGACCAAGACTTCCTCAAAACCTTGGGCTGTTTGGCCCTGATCATCAACCCCGTGTTTGCAGAGGTGAGTCTCTTGACCCCTTCGCCCCCCCCCCCCCCCCCCGGCTGCCGCCGAAACCCCTCACCCCGCTCTCTTTGCCCCTCCCCTCCGCGCTCAGCTGAAGCAGCAGGACTCCAACAACGCCAGCAAGAGGCAGGCCATTGAAGAGCTGGAGAAGAGCATCAGCCTGGCCGAAGCTGCCAGCCCCGGGATCACCGACAAGATGGTGAAGAAGCTGATGGAGAAATTCCAGAAGTAAGATTTGGGATGAGGGTTTGGGTTTCAGCGGCGGCTAGTCCTTGACTTACGACCAGGATTGAGCCCCAAATTTCCATTTGCTAAGCAAGAAGGAGCTGTTCAGTGAGTCCTGTCCCAGGTTAATGGCCTCTTTCTTGCCACAGTTGTTAAATTAGTAAAGTGTTAAACAAATCTGGTTTTTCCATGGATGTTGCTTGTCAGAAGGTCGCAAAAGGGGATCACGTGACCCTGGGATACTGTGACCGTCATAAATGTGAGCCGGTCTGAATTTCGAGCACTGTGATGACCCAAAGGGGCGTGGCACAAAGGCAACACAGTCAGATAATCTGTAGGAGTCCCTTTATTTGCTCCAACTTTGCCCCCAGTGTCCAGTTACCTTCTGGGCTGGAGAAAAACTCTCCCAGGAACAGCCTTTGGCTGCAGACAGTGGCCTGAAGGAAAGGGGCTCAAAACATGTCCAAAACATGGTCAACACAAACTGTATCTATCTTATAGTCCAAACAAGGTAAAATGGGGTAATTAGTCTGACAGGGCAGGAGAAGGAATTCCAGAGGTGAAGGAATGGCAGTAAATCAACCCGGTTGAGAGGATGCCAGGAAGGCAAATAACCAAAATCAACACAAGATAATCTCATGTTTGTTCCCAAAAGGCTCTCAGCTTGCATCTCTTTTAAACTCCCTTCCCAGGTGTGGCTAATGAAGGGAATCAGGGCCCTTTCCTCCCCCGTAAGCCATGCAACTCACGTTGCTCCCTTCTCCATTCCTCCCTGCATGCCCTAGGATGAAGAGGGGGTGGGCCTGGGTCTTCCTCCAAACTCCCTCTCCCTTGTTCCACTTCTCTCTTGCTCTGCCCAGCCGGACTTTGCCCTCCCCCAGTTTCCTCCACAGCCAACGGAGCCACACTCCCGCTCCCTGTCAGCCATTCGTCTTCCTCCTCGGATTCAGACTCTGACGGGGCAGGATAAGCACAGGGATGCTGCAATGGTGTGAAACACGGTCTTGAGCCCCTTTCCTTCAGGCCACTGTCACGTCAAATGGCCACGGAAAGGACTGCTGTTAAGTAGAGGGCTACCTTCTTTAGCGGAAGACACCCCCCCCCCCCAATAGCTGGGACTCCCTGATGGAATCTCCCCTCCCGGCCTTTTCTCTCTCCCCAGGTTCTCTGCCAATGACTCCTGAGGAAGGACAAGCCCCCCACTCTCCCCCAGGATGCCGTCCCGCCCGGACACAGCTCCTCGCAGCCCACCAACCCCTCCTCTGGCTCCGCTCGGCTCCTCCTCCTCCTCCTCCTGAGTTCCTTGTGCCTTTCGGGATCATCGCAATAGATGTTTTTTGATGATCGCGGATTTGGATTTAAGGATTTAACTCCACTCTTTTGTAAATGGCATCCATGTTTTCTGTTTATTTCTTTCCTCTTTTTTTTTTTCTCTTTTTCTTTTGTAAAGAGCGACTCTTTCATATTTTAGTCCCCAACTTCTCTAATCCAGCATCGAACGAGATGAAAACCGCCTGTGCCGTTTGCTTCTAGGTGCAGTTGGGAGCTCTCAAATTGCCAGGGTGGATCGGCCTCCTCCACAAATCTGGAGCCTTTTTTTATTTTCGACTTTTGCTTTTTAACTTCGTAGGAAACACCATTTGGGGAGCGTTTTGGGTTGGTCTTCTCCTGTGCCCGAGTTGCAGCTCTCCCCAAGCCCCCCCCCCAAAGCCAGAACTCGGCCCATCCGTCACGTTGAGGAGTGAAGGCTGCGTGGAAGCACTTCTCCGTTGGGCCCTGTTTGGGCCCCACCGTCTTGCTTCGGGCCCCGTGTCGAGCAGGAGGAACTGGCCCCAGCCGCCTCCGCTCACTTGGGGTTTGGCACAGGGTTTTATTTTTTTTGGGGGGGGTGTGCCTCACCTCCACCTGAAAGCAATACGTCAGCGGCTTGGCCAGTCACCCTGTAACTCCATGTGCAGTTTGTACGCGTCCCTGTTGTAGAGCCACCCATCGCAGCAGCGGCAACGGGGCCAAGGGGTTGGGTGTCAAAGAAAACCGAGGTGGCAGCGGGGCCCACACCTCTGAAGCCCCCTCCTCTCTTTATGTTTGTTTTAAAAAAAAAAAAAAAACATGCATTGCACATGATGGGTGTGGCTGCAGTTGCCATTTTGGTTCCCTTGAGCCCCCTGACACCCCCCACCCACCCCATGAAAGAAATGTTCATCATGGTAAGAAATTTTAAAAAGCAATATGGTTGAAATACGGTTTTTTTGGGGTGGGGGGGTTGGCAATAATGGACCCAATTCAACCGAGTTGTTTCTCCTGGAGTAAAATTGGAGAAGAAGGAGAACCTGTCCTGTCTTGGCCGTGTCCGAGCAGTACCTGAAATTGTGTCACCAGCGTTTTTGTGGGTGTGGATTTTTTTCTTTTTCCTCTCGTAAGATATTGATAGACTTACGTCCTTGAAGTCCTTTACATGCATCAGCAGCTGTTTAATTTCCCCCTCCCTTCCGACGTGTATTTTTAAATATCTATTTGCCAGTTAATATGCAAATAATTTGAGTTATAGATATTCTTTCACGGAAAAAGATAAGTACTTTGCAGTACAAGAGGTGATTTTTTTTTTCTTTTTCAGAAAAGGTAGAAGAAATTATAAACTTGCTTTCGATTATATATTTATGGTACTGTTGAGATGAGTTTTTCTCTCTTTTTCCTTTTCCACCCAGTTTGTATATTATGCTATTGAAGTGTATTGTATTTCCGTCTTTAGTTGTGGAAGTGTGGGTGTAAATTTATTTTTGATAAAAAGTCTGGATATGTTTAATTTTATAGTTCAGATCTGCACATTATTTTTTTTTTGGTTTTGCACAACCTTCATTTTAAAGGATTTGAAGTGTATCAGCCAAATATGGAACGGAGTTAAATAAGAGTGCAAACAAGCAGTTATTTTTGTTGTTGTTGTGATTAAAAGTTGCCATTACAACCTTTTCTTTGTAAGGAAGGGGGAAAGAACACAGAAAGATATAAAGACACTGGCAAGAGATGGTGGACAGAAATGCCAAGGGCGATTATTTTCAATGGTGCCTACACTGTAAAAAAAAAAAAAAACCCACAAAGAACTTTTAACTCCCTTTGTTTTAATTTTAAAGAAATGTTTGTTTAAAAAAATGGTTTCGTTGCTATATATACCTGAAACACCATTAGAAATTTATATCTGAGGGGAGGAAGAAAACCTCTGGACATAGTTTTTGAAAACAATAATGTTACGGATTAAATAAAATATTTTTATAAATGTAGAAGCCGTTCAAGTTGTAAATACAGTTTGATTCGAAGCTTTACAAAATAACTGTATCATCCAAGCAGAACCGTCGCGCTCCTTCTTCCCAGCCTCTGCCTAGTTCTGTAAATCTGTTTATAGATGAAGCTTCTTTCACACTTTGGAGGAAGGGGGACGCGGAAAGTCAAAGGGTTTAAAAAAAAATGAAAAACACAAATAAATATTTAAGTTCTATAATCTTCTGTGGTCCTTGTGTAATTGTGTCCCAACAAAAACACCCCAGCCAAGGACCAAGCCAGGAGGCAAGTGACATTTTTGCAACCTTTCAGCCCCCATCAACCTTTCTGAGATCCTGGAGAAGAAGAGGGATGTCGACCCCCATAATCCCCAATCTGCTAGGCTGGCCGGGCATCATGGACGATGAAGACCGCTGGATCCGAAGGGGATGTAAGGGGAAGAAGGCTTTCGTTTCCCTGGGAGGCAAAATCGCTCCTCGTTGGCTAAGACAAATCACACCTTTAAGAATGATAGTCCAATCTTGAGAAACTTCAGGAGAGAATTTGCAAAGAAGACACTCAACCTCTGAAACAGTCTCAGAAAGTGGACTTCCAGGTTTGCATGTAAACTGAATTTTTTTAACAAAAATGTGCAGCAGATAAGATGGTGTCTGCTGGTCCTGAGTGCCTTGTCCCAAGGGTGCTGAGCCAGCTTGGGGGGATTTGAGGGCCAAAAGGGGACCCCTTTTGCTGAAATCCAACCAGCTGAAGAATTGCAATGGCAGAACAGAGCAGGAAGGTGTCCCAAAGAATGAGTGTCCAACCTTGGCCGCTTTGAAGAGCCGTGGACTACAACTCCCAGCATCGCTGGCGGGGGAATTCTGGGAATTGAAGTCAGAGGTGGGGAATTCAGCAGGTTCGGACTGGTTCTGGAGAACCGGTAGTGGAAATTTTGAGTGGTTTTGGAGAACCGGCCAATCCCACCTCTGACTGGCCCCGCCAACCCCATCTCTTCTCTGCCTCCCATCGAGTCCCAGCTGATCGGCTGGGCCTCCTTTGGTTGCCCTGCACAGGAGAACGGAGCTGGAAAGCAGGCTAGTGGGGTGGGAAGGGAATGGGATTTTGCGGTAACCTTCCCCTGCCATGCCTACCAAGCCACGCCCACCAAGCCACGCCCACAGAACCGGTAGTAAACATTACTGAATCCCACCACTGATTGAAGTCCACCGGTCTTAAAGTGGCCCTGGTTGGACCCCCCTGCTCTATAGAAAATCTTTTGTGGTTTTCCTCTGGCTTAGACAACGCCACGAGTGAGAAAACTGAGCGCCATCCGCTCAGCATCGCAAGCCTTTGAAAGGATCTCCCCAGTCTTCAAAATCTACGAGGGAAAAGTGATTAACAAACCAGGACTGGGGAAAACCGTCCATGCCCCACATAAACCTGAGAACCGCATACAGTGCAGGTGAGCTGGCTCCGTGATGGGCAGCATCCTACGAATTGCCAGGCTCCGCCCTTTAGGTGGACACCTTGCAGCCTTTGTGCCACTGTGCATTTACAACTGGAACACATTTTCGCATTTCTAGCAACCCCACAGGCCACAATCGAAAGCTTTTTTTAAAAAAAAAAAACGAAAAAGAAAATGGTAGCAATGCTAGTTCAAATCCCAACTGTTGACTTGCACCCGGTGCTAGCAAACTTAATTCTTTTTTTCCTCTCTCTCTTACCAACAAGCTCTTTTCTGGACTTCAGAGTCAGTGGTTGATCTGGGAACTCCCCTAAACTCGATGCAAAATTTAATTTGTCCAGTATTATATTTAGGATCCCCTCTCACAAATATGTACTAAATCAATGAAACCGTCCCTTTATTGAGAAAAAAAACCCCTGATATGTAAAGCCAATCCTGCTTTTCCTTTAACAACAGTTCCTTGAACTCTGCAGGTTTTTAAAAAAATTCACAAATAACCTGACAAATCGGCAACATGCCACGTACTTTCGACTGGTGCTGCTGTTGCTGTTGTGCTGCCTACATCAAATAATTGGAGGTGCTCTCAGGATGGTGGATGGTGGCGGCAGGAACCAGGGTCTCCTCTCCCTCCAGCTGGAGGCTCCCCGAGGAGAGGTGAATTCGCACCCGGGGTCTTTGGAGCACCCGCCCGTAGAGGGCATAGTAGTCCGGGAGGAGGTCTGAATCGGAGTCACTGGATTCGGTCCCACTGCCCGTGTAGCGCTCTGCGGCTCGCTGGCCTCGGGGAGGTTCTGGGAAGGGCGGCTGGCTGAGCACGCATTGCAAGAGGTCAACCTTCCTGCTGGTCAAGACAGGGCAGGGTCCGAGAGGGCGGAACTCGGAGCCGCAAGGGAACCGGACGGCTTTGACGTCCGACTGGCTCCAAGATCTTTTGGGGGCCTCCTGAACACCGTAGTCAAAGACGTTCTCGTCGTCTTCCTCCAGACTGAGGTGGGTCATGTAGGTGGCCTGGGGAAGGGCCAGAGGCTCCCTCGACTTGGGGTTCCTTGGTGGCTTCATGGGTGCCTCGCAGAGGTTGGCCTCCGCCCCTCTTTCCTCAGCCCGGTCAACGGTGGGGCTTTTGGGGTACTGAGGTGGCCGGTCCACGTAGAAGAAAACGGGAGGAGACGCCACCTCGGAGGGCTGGTGGGACGCTGCCACATAGGGGACATCGGTGTACCTCAGCTGCTGCCTTGGGCTCCTCTCTCTCACGCTGCTCAGGGAAGGGCTCTGGCTGGTGCCGTCCAGCCTGGAGCTGGGCTGGAAAGAGGTCAGCGGGCTCCTTGGCCCGTAGAGACCGTCCGGTTCCCAATCGTGGTCCAACGCCGTGTAGACCACCGGGAAGGCAGAGCTGCTTTGGGAATGGAGCAGCAGCACCGTCGGGTCTGCTTCGGGTTTCGACCTCTCCAGCTCGTCAGCAAAGATGACTTCCACGGCCGAGTTCCTCCGTCGATTGTCCAGCGTGGGCTCAGAAGTGTGGATGCCGTTGGCGCCGTAGTAGCTCCCCATGGTGCCGTAGACAAGCCGCAGGTCTTCCATCTGTGGGGAAAGCGAGGCATCAATGCTTAAGCCAAGGGGGTTGAACGCACACAAGGTTTGGGCTCCCTTCTTGAGGCTTTGTCACCCAAAGGTGACCAACAATCCATGTTAGGCTTGTTTGGGCTGCACTTTAAGGAAGAATCTGCGAATCCCACTTTCTCCGTCCCTACAACCACACCAAAGCCAGCAAAACGGGCTGAAGCTCTCTTTTTAAGGTGCCCATTTGCTCATGGGGGGAGGGGGTGAGAGGGCTGCTAGCTTGAGCCTTTCTTTTTACCCCTCCCCACCCGATTCCCCCCTGACTCAAATGACATACTTGTTTGGAAACATCCGTTAGCAGATCCGGGGAGGAGCGGCATTGCCTGTCATGGTAGCGAGAGGAATAGCGTTTCCTGAAAGAGAAAAACCAACCCAAACTGGCCAGGGGTGTTTTAAACGCTTCTGCAACCTTTTGGCCAGCAACTTCTGATAACACCCCACAAGGTGAGGTTCGCAGCCCAGCAAAATGGGACTCGAACACCAAGATTGGGGACCTCATTACTTAGCAGGAGGTGCATTTCTGCGGGGCTGTTCATGGAGTTAATCCTCAAGAAAGCCCAGCTGTTCCTTCCACCAGGTCATTTATGGGTGAAATTTCAGGGTACCTGAGAGGACCTTGCAAAGCTTTTATAGAGGAGGAGGAGGAGGAGGAGGAGGAGGAGGAGGAGGAGGAGGAGGAGGACAGCAGAAATCGAGGAAGAAGACTGGAGGCAAAAATATTAACGACTTAATTAATTGCCGGCCATTAATCCCTCCAATTAACAAATAAAAAGCCACCCCATAAGTACAACCTACATAGACTATCCCAAAGCTCGCATTTTGGGGAGGAGAGGAGTTCCCTGAGGATGGGGCTCCAGCCACAAGTCCAAAAGCTTGGAAGACAAAACCTCGGATACTGACCCAGATTGGATCCTGCAAGATTATCCTGAGACCCGTAGACTCGCCTTCGTTTGTGAAAGGTGTCCTTTCAACAGGTAAATTACCTCTCGAAGGGCAGGCTCTTCTGCTTCCCTTTGGTCCCGTGTTCCAGCAGCTGCCTCTGAGTTCTCCCGCTGTTGTGGCCAAGAGAGAAATAGTTGAAGAGGAGCTGCCTCTGCAGCACCCACCAAAAGGTTTGAGGCCGTTCCTCGGGGAGGAACAATTCCCAGAACAATCCCAGGGGCTCACAGCTTAATATTTCACACCCCGAAAAGACAGGAAATGGAGGGAAGCAAAGAGGAAGACTTTGGGGTAGACAGAGCCAGCCACAGGCACCCAGGCTAGAGAGTGTGGCTGGCTTCCTTGTTCCCTCCTAAATTGCTAAATGTAATTTAAATTTATTTCCCCTTAAATTATTAAATTCCTCCTAATACTCCACTCCTCCGCTCACAACAGAATACCCTATATCACCAGGCTTGAAATTTTGGGCTTGGACAACCTTGAACTACACCGCCTACGGTTGGACTTAAGCGTAGTACACAAAATTATCTGCTACAATGTCCTACCAGCCAATTACTACTTCAGCTTCAACCACAACAAGAGCACACAACAGATACAAACTCAATGCAAACTGCAAACTGGTCAGTGCCTGGAATGCATTACCTGACTCTGTTACATCCTCTAACTCCCAAAACTTTACCCTCAAACTATCCCCTATTGACCTCACCCCATTCCTAAGAGGTCTGCAAGGGGCGTGCATAAGTGCACCATCCCTGTCCTATTGTCCCCATTGATTCGTACCTGTTTCCTGTATTCTTACTCATGTTTATACTTATACCTAATATCTTGTAAGCGATTGACAAATCAAATCAAATGAATAAATAAATAAAATAAATTACCTGTAACGGAAACTGGAGCCTTTGCTGCAGAGAAAAGCTTTGGGTTTTGACTTTGGCTCCGTGGAGAGGCGGAAGAAGGCATGGTATTCAACGCACATCTTCCAAAAAGCCTTACAGGTGTCGCGACTCGCCATGGCAAACTCCAGTGTATCTTTGCAAAGAGCCTGTTGGGGACGGAGAAGGAAAACGCATCAGTCCAGCCAGTGTTTCTCAGCGTTGGTAGCTTTAAGGCAGGTAGACTTCCGTTCCCGGAATTCTTCATTTCCAGTCCAGCCTGGAATTTTGTTGTTGTCTCTCATCCATGCTCTGCTTAACTTTTCAAGATCAGCCAGCACCCAATATTTCTGAAAAACGCAGCTAGGGAATAGCAGAATTACAGAGTTGGAAGGGGCCTTGAAGGTCTTCTAGTCCAACCCCCTGCTCAGGCAGGAAACCCTAGATCATTCCAGACAATCTCTTTCTAAAAACCTCCAGTTTTGGATGTCTATGGAGATTCTCTGCCTTCCAGGTCATGGTTGTCCCAAAGGCGCCTTTTTCCTTCCAGAGGCAACTGGATTTCTTGGTGTTTTTTTTCTTTTGAAGACGTTTCACTTCTCATCCAAGAAGCTTCTTCAGCTCTGACTGGATTTGTGGGGAATGGAAGAGCTGAAGAAGCTTCTTGGATGAGAAGAGAAACGTCTTCAAAGAAAAACCAGAAAGTCCAGTTGCCTCTTGAAAAAAAGGCACTTTTGGGACCTCCAGCATTGGAGGACCCACAACTTTTGAAGGCAACTTGTTCAATAATAGAATGACAGAGTTGGAAGGGACCTTGGAGGTCTTCTAGTCTAACCCCTGCTTAGGCAGGAAACCCTATAGCATTTCAGACAAAGGGTTGTCCAATCTCTTCTTCAAAACTTCCAGTGTTGGAGCATCCACAGCTTCTGGAGGGAAGACGTTCCACTGATTGATTGTTCTAACTATCAGGGAATTTCTCCTTAGTTCCAGGTTGCTTCTCTCCTTGATTAGTTTCCATCCGTTGCTTCTTGTCCAGCCTTCAGGTGCTTTGGAGAATAGCTTGACTGCCTCTTCTTTGGGGCAGCCCCTCAGATATTGGAAGGCTGCTATCATGTCCCCCCTAGTCCTTCTTTTCATCATACTAGACATACCCAGTTCCAGCAACCGTTCTTGTTTTAGCCTCCAGTCCCCCAAGTCTCTTTATTTATTGGTTTTTCTCTGAATGTTGGTAGAGGCCCCCAGAAATCCTTCCCTATTCCTCCTGCAATCCACCCCAAACAATTTGCAGCAATGGTTGGTTTCAGCCAGCCTGCCTGCTACCTTGATGGATCATTTCTACAAAGAGTGTGCCTTAGACCAGAGAAATATCACCCAACTCAACCCACCCACCCCCAGACAGTGACACACCCCCAGACACAAACACAACATCCCAATCCCCTCCCAAGGTACCGAAACGTTGGCGTGGAGCTTGATCAAGAAATGCTTCCGTTTGAAACTCAGTTTCCGGATTTTGGACCAGTTGAAGGTATTAATCTTGGTGTTTCCCTGAAAAATTAAGAGCCAACAAGCAAATAGATCAGCCTTGATCACTTTAAGCCTTGTGGACCTCAACTCCCAGAATTCCCCAGCCAGCTGCGCTGGCTGGGGAATTCTGGGAGTTGAAGTCCACAGGTGGTGAATTGAAGTCCACAGGTCTTAAAGTGGCCAAGGGTGGACAGCTGTGAAGTAGATAAAGATGCCACCACGAACACCACACCTGACCAGTATCCAGTTGTGGAAGGTATGTCCCAAAGAACCCTTTTCAATGGCTTGGCCTGAGGCCTCTCAATGCCCGGCACAAAGTGGGGATTACATCTTTTGAAATTTTATATCTCTTCTTCCCAGCTGCCTCATTTGCACCAACAGAATGTGAAAACCAAAAGAGTCCCCTTCAACCAACAACCGTTAAGTGGTTGCAGAGTTAAATCTATCCTCTCCTTCTCTCTTTTTTTCTTCTCTCCCCTTCCTACTGTTTTGCTGGAGAGAAAACCCTCATCTTGGCACCCGAAAACAAAAGCAGGGCCCCCCTCCCGTTTCCCTCGCCCCTTCCCCAGCTGTGGGCGAAGGCTGCCATGGAGCCGTCAACGTCTGGCCTGCCCTGCACCCGAAAGCACGGGAGCTGCAGCAGCCTGTAATTGCCACCCCAATGAGGCTGCTATTCTCGGAGGAAAATTACACGCTGGAGGCTCGTCTCCCTCCTGTGCAACCCCAGTGATCTGACCTGGCAGCCGCTGGATTTAGCAAGGAAAGGCAGGCGTCGAGGCGCCCACATCAGAAAGTGCTGGGCGAAGCCACGAACGAATGGCATGGGGCTTTTCCCCAGATGCCCAGCCTGGCTTCCCCGGGAGTCAATTCCCCAGGCTGTACTTCCAGCAGGAAGCTTTTAATTCACACTAGAAAGGACTTTGGGGGATAGGAGATGCTTTTCAGTGGCTCCATTCAGTCATCACAGAGATCATCCCTCTCGAATGATGGACAGCTGCCAAAAGCTCTGCTTTAATGCTGAGAGCACCAGGGAGCAGAACCGGAGGTGATATTCAGTCAGTTCTGACCGGTTCTGGAGAACCGGTAGCGGAAATTGAACGTGTAGTCAGCTTTTTGGAATCCCACCACTGCTCCAGGGGGCAGAATGCTGCCAGATCAAAGAACCCACGCTTGTGATTGGCAGCTTCCCCTATTGGGCCTCTACCTTGCTTGGAAAGGTGTCCTAACGGGGGGGAAAAAACAAACCACGGTTACCCGCAGCACCAGGACCCCCATGTGGGTAACTGCCAAGTTGATCTGGGTCCCTTCCCCGTCGCTGGCAGGGTGGGGACGAATGCCGTACATCTCCAGCTTCCTCGCTATGTCCAGGAGCTGCACATCGGATTCAGCCGGAGTTTTGCCCCTGGAAAAAAGAGGATGGGGGTCAGCAACCAAGGCAGAGAGAAGAGCCCAGCTGCACCCCTACCCCCTATTTGTGGGCTCAACCGAGACGTTTCCCTCCCAGTGGTGTTGCCCCCAGTTTGGAGACTGGAAATCTGCCTCGGTTCTCAAGTTTCTGATTTCCAGTTTAGGAAGTCCCACGGAATGAAACTTTCTAGCCTTCATTTCGTTCGAGCTCTCACTCCAAGGAATCCTGAGCCAAAGTAAAAAGTCTAGCACTGATGCTGTTACCTAGTTGGGCCATGAAATGTCTGCCAGGAAGCCGCCGAGCTCAGAGAGCACCTGGGAGCCCTAAAAACAAAATTAAAAAGAGCAAGTGGAGAAAACCGGCCACTTACATGTGCTTCTTATGGTAGCACATAATGCTGCTCTTCAGGTCCTCTTGGTTCAGCAGGTATTTGTGCGTTTCCAAGTGCTTTCGGTCCATTTCTTCATGGAAATCGCCCAGCGCGGCTGCAGGAACGATCCACACAACGAAGAACACTTCTGGTCAATGGAATTGCCTTTCGTTGGAGGCCACACACCCTGCTCCGTCCACAAAAGCCAGGAGCAAACCCAGGACCAGCCCAGATGCCACGGCAGAAGGTGGGGTGGGGTGGGGAGAAATGCCACCCTGTTTGTTACCCATTGGGGACGTTTCCCTCCCCAAGACCCAGCCGCGTCCTTGCCCTCCTCTTCCTCTCCCATCGGAGGCTCAGCAACGCACATTGGAGGAGATGCGACGCCATCAGAGCCGAACTGTTCTCGCTGCAAGGGAGCTTCCCACAGGCCAAGTCCTTCTTGAGCTGAAGGGTGAACAGGTACCTGGGAAGACATTTTTTCAGGGGTGTGTGTGTGTGTGTCTCACTACTCTGGCTCCCCCCTTCCTCCGGAGGGACGACATGGGTG